ATGAATAGAAAAGAAAATAAAGAATGTATTACTATTATTTGGTTTGATTCCAATATTCATTTACATAATCTTACAAAAAACATTAATGAACGATTATGTGAAATAAATGATTATATTCTTTATTATAATGAAATTGATTCTTGTATAAATTATATTCAATCGATTGATAAAGAAAAAATTTTCTTGATTACATCGAGTATAGACATTTCTCAAATATCAATTCAAATCAATAATCTTCCACAAATTAATTCGATATTTATATTTGATTTCGATAAAAATCAAAGACATGAATTTACTTTTGAACATTTTAAATTTATTGATTTCTACACTGATCTAGATAATTTATATTCATCAATTAAAGAACAAATTGAAGATGAAGATAAATTAATTCAAACATTCAGTTTTTTTGATCAATTCGAATATTTAACACAAAATCTTTCAAAACAAATATCTAATTTATTTTGGTATCAATTATTTAATAAAATTATTTTACAATTATCAAATGATCAATTAATTAAAACTGAAATGATTGATTTTTGTCATCAATATTATCAAGATAATTTAAAATTAATTGATGAATTCAAACATGAATATCATTCAAATAAAGTAATTCAATGGTTTTTGAAAAGATCATTTCCTTATAAAATGATTAAGAAAGCATTACAAATAAAAGATATAAATCAATTGATGATATTAAAATATTTTATCAAAGATCTTATACAAAGTTTTGAAAGTCACAATCAAAAATATGAAAATAAAAATCTTATTGTTTATCGAGGAATTAAATTATCGAAAGAACAACTTGAAGAATTCAAACAAAATGAAGGAAAACTTTTTTTAAGCAATGAATTTTTAACAGCAACTCGATCTTATTTGAATGCATTGAATTTTGCTAAAAAATTAACAAAACAAACAAATATTATTCCTACAATTTTAGAAATTGAATGTAAATTAAAAGATTTTGATAAAAATATTATCTTTATTGACAAAGACAAATCTGAAGATTTATCTAATCAAGATGATATTCTTTTCAATTTAAATGTCATATTTCATTTAAATAAAGTTGAATTTCATGAAAATATTTGGATTATTAAATTGAGTATTTCGAATGAAGGAAAAATTATTTTAGAAAAATATATTGAAGATACACGTCAACAAATTGGAGATATTAGTATTGAAATTATATTTGGACGTCTTATGTTAGATATGGGTCAATGGAATCAATCACAAAAATATTTTGAACGTTTATTAATTGATTCAAATGATAAAAATCAAGCATGGATAGAATATAGTCTTGGTGAAATTCATCGTTTAAAAGGAGAATGGATTGTAGCACGTAAATATTATGATTATGCTTTTGATCGAATGATGAATTCAAAACAAATATATATCAAAGAATCAGCTCAAATACTTTCCGATATTGGAGAACTTCTTTATGCTGAAGGAAAGTTTGAAGAAGCTATGAATTTTCATGAACGAGCATTACAAATTCGTAAAGAATATTATTCTTCTGATCATCCTCATATCGCTAATAGTCTATGTAATATTGGAAATATTTTCCATATACAAGACAAATATGATGAAGCATTTGTATATTTTCAAGAAGCACTTATGATTTTGGAGAAATATTACAATAGTTTTCATGTTGATATTGCTAAATGTTTGTCGTGTATTGGACATTATTTTCGTGAACAAAGAAACTATGATAAATCTCTTGAATTTCATCAACGATCTTTAGCTATCTATGAAAAATATTATCCTTATGATCATGTCTGTATTGCAATGACACTCAATGACATCGCAGATATTCTTAACGGACAAGATAAAAATGATGAAGCTTTGAATATTCATCGTCAAGCATTGGCAATGTATAAGAAATTGTTTCAATATGATCATATCGATATTTTTGAACATCTTTGTACTCTTGGTCATATTTACTCTGGACAAGGACATTATGATACTGCTTTAGAATCTTACCAACAATCATTAGCAGTATTGAAACAATATTTCTTTTCTGGTCATACTCATATTATCTGTCTTTTGCAAAATATTGGTGTTGCTCTGAACAGCTTAGAAAAATTTGATGATGCTCTGGACTTTCATCGTCAAGCACTTGTTATGGAGGAAAAATATTATCCATCATTTCAAGCTAAAATAGCACAGACATTCATATATATTGGCGACGTTCTAAGATGTCAAGAGAAATATGAAGACGCTTTAGATCATTATAAAAAAGCATTAGTAATGCAAAAGAGTTATTATCCTTTGGGTCATGTAAATATATCTTTTACATTTCAAAACATAGGTACTCTATTATCTCAACAAGAAAAATACGATGAAGCTCTAGATTTCTACCAGCAAGCATCAATCATGCTCGAAAAACATGGTCTGTGTAATCAAAGTGATATCGCTTTTAATTTGATAGGTATTGGTCATATTTTAAATAATCAAGGAAAATTCGATGAAGTCATAGACTATTATCAAAGAGCATTAGACATTCAAAAGAGTTATTATTACGCCGATCATCCCAACCTTGCTGATACACTTAACAGCATTGGTAATCTACTCTATCGTCAAAACAAGAATGATAAAGCCATGGAGTTTCATAAGAAAGCGTTAGAGATTCAAGAAAAAAATTATCCTACAGAACATATAAAAATTGCAACTACATTCATTTATATTGGTTACGTACTAGAAGATGAAACAAAATATGATGAAGCACTTGACTATTATAAACGGGCACATTTATTATTTGTAAAATTTGGAAATTGTTATCGCTCAGATCAATTACAGATTGCTTTTAATCTAAACTATATTAGTGACGTTCTATATTTACAAGGAAAATATCAAGAAGCTGTTGAATATCAACAACATGCACTATTAATCAAAGAAAAATGGTTACCATCTATTCATAATGAAATTATTAGAAGTTGCATAAAGATTAGTCGTAGTCTGTGTAGTCAAGAAAAATATGTCGATGCACTTGAATTTCAACAACGAGCTTTAGAAATACAAGAAAAACTCGAACCATTAAATCATAAGGATATAGGTGAACGACTTTGTGATATTGGTAAGACTTTCTTCGATCAAAAAAAATACGACGAAGCTCTTAATTTTTATCAACGAGCATTAGAAATGAAAGAAATATCTGATCCATCTAATCATGACTACATTATTGCTGTACTCAATAACATTGGTGAGATACTTAAAGAACAACAAAAATACGATGAGGCACTCGATTTTAAGAATCGTGCACTCAAAATGCGAGAAACTTATTGTTCATCAAGCCATCAGGATATCGCCGATAATCTTAATGAAATAGGTAATATCCTTCATGATCAAGAAAACTACGATGAGGCTCTTACTTTTTATCAACGTGCATTAGAAATAAGAGAAACATTCGATCCATCTGGATATAACAATATCATTGTTATACTTGGCAACATTAGCTACGCATTGAAACAACAACAAAAATATGATGAGGCACTCAATTTTCAAAAACGAGCCCTCGAAATACAAGAAACTCATTGTCCATCAAATCATCTACAAATTTCAGACAATCTCAATGACATCGGTATTATTCTCGACGAACAAAAAAAATATGATGAAGCTCTTCATTTTTATCAACGAGCTTTAGAGCTTAGAGAAACATTCGAACCATCTGGTTACGATCACATCCTCTCTATACGCACTAGCATTAGTCATGCACTTAAACAACTAAAAAAATACGATGATGCACTCACTTTTTTAAATCGAACGCTTAGTATACGAGAAACACACCGTTCATCAAGCTATGCATTAATTGCTCGTAATATCAACGATATTGGTCTGATCTATTATGAACAAGAAAAATGCAATGAAGCTCGTGAGTACTATGAACGAGCATTAGAAATGACAGAAACATTTAATACATCGGCTTATGATGATATTGCTGTTCTATTGAGTAACATTAGCCTTACATTTAAACAACAAGCAGATTATGTCGAAGCACTCGATTTTCGAAATCGATCACTTGAAATACGAGAAACTCATCTTTCATCAAATCATCTACAAATTATCGATGATCTTAACGAATTAGGTCATATCCTTCTAGCACAAAAACAATATAACAAGGCTCTTAGTTCTTATAAACGTGCATTAGAAATGAGAGAAACATTCGATCCATCGGGATATGAAAAGATTGCTTGCTTACTCATTAGCATTAGTGATGTACTTAAGCATCAACGAAAGTTTGATGATGCACTCGATTTTCAAAATCGATCGCTTAAAATATTCGAAACTCACTGTCCGACAAATCATATATATATTGCATTGAATTTGAATAACATTGGCAATATTCTCCGAGAACAAGGAAAATACGATGAAGCATTTGATTATCATCAAAAAGTATTAGCAATATGTGAAGAGTTTTGTTCGTCTGATTATAATAATATCATTGTTTGCCTTGGTAATAATGCTGATGTACTTGAAGATCAAGAAAAATATAATGAAGCACTTCTATATCGTCAACGAGTATTAACGATTAGACAAGAGCATTATTCATCAGATCATAACGAAATTGTCAATAATCTTACAAAAATTGGCCAGCTTCATGTAAATTTAAAAGAATATGATAAAGCTCTCGAAATCTATCAACAAGCATTGTCGTCAATCAAAGAACAAATCTCTCAATCTGATCAAGTTACAAATGATAATAGTCTACAAAATATCAATTTTGTTTTTTACCAATCAACAGAATATCATAAAATCGTCGATCTGGAGCAAAAAATGTTGGAAATTTATGAGATATTATATACCGATGGTCATGCTAATACGATATCATGTCTTAATCGTATCATAAACATTTTAAATGAACAAAATGAAGATTATAAAGTAGTTCCATTTCAAAAAAAGGTATTGGATCTCAACATGAAATTTGGTCTATGTAGTCATACAGATGCAAGTAAAATTCTCACTGATATGGCTAATACGATGTATTTATACGACAGTTATGATGAAGCCATTGAATTTTATAAAGAAGCATTGATATACTATGAAAAAGATTCTTCAATCGACTATGTAGCTATGATCTCTGCATTGATTAATATGAGTTTAATTTTTAACATTCAATTAAACTACGATGAAGCTCTGAATGCACAACGTCGAGTATTAAACATTCGGAAAGAAAATAAACCATTGGATCATTTCACGATTGCTAAAAATCTTCAAGAAATAGGTGATATACTCTTTAAACAAGAAGAATATAATGATGCTGTTGATTCTTATCAACAAGCATTAGTAATATTCGAAGAACATCATCCAACAGATCATATTGAAATAGCGAATTGCCTAGAAAAAATTGCTCTTATTTGGGATTCAAGGCCGGATTATGATCGTGCTATGGAATATTTCGAAAGATGTCTATGCATCAGAGAAACAAGTTTATCTTTAGACGATCCTATGATTACTGACACTTTACTGTATTTAAGTCACACTCAAAGAAAAAGAAATCATCGCGAACTTTCATTAGCATATGAAATAAACTATTGTTTGATGCGTATAAAATTTCAATTATTAGATCAAGTAACTATTGGTGATAGTTTTTCTCGTATTGGTCAACATTACGAACAACTCCATGAACCGATATTAGCACTGAATTATTATAAACAAGCATTAGATGTCTATAAGGATTGTCTACCCGAATGGCATGGACATCGACTAGATATGGAACTCAATATAGAGCGACTTTCAAAAAATATAATAACTTAAGAGATTATTTTTCAAAAATTTTCGCTACAAATACTCTCATTAATATTAAAGATACGTATAGGTAGTTGACTCAGTTTTTTGTGTTGATTCTGAATATCACATGTATTTTGCGTAAAAAATAAAACTATTATATTAATCACTACATATCTTCAATGATTTTCTTCACAGATTTATAGTTTCTCATATAAATTTGCACATCAAAATTCAAATTTGATTTCAATTATAATTGCAAGACAATGAATGTGATTCTTATTTAATTAGGTCTTATTGATCGTATTTAAATAATGTAAAATTTGAACTTACAAATAAATAATATATAATTATTTGTATGGTATTAACCTTTAATATTCAACAAAAATGAAAACTTAATTTCATCAAAAATCTAATCAACTATCGATGCAATTTATTCAATCACAAGGTCTAATTTTTGTAATTTGTGTTTTATATGATACGTTTCAAGTTTAACATGCATGGGTCTAAACATGACGCCCTTCGATTGCGCTGTGTACACAGAGGCGTGCATCGGTCAGACGGGGAAAGCGTTTACTCTCCTCTATTAATATCAATTACATTATTATTTAATTTTAGACATGGATTGATATTGTAGCATCTTTAACCTTTTCAGTACGGAATTATTTTTATATAGTGAAAATTTTTACTATATATAAAAATAATTTCATATTCAATGGATTAAGAAATAATTAATAATGATCAGGAAGTATAAGAACAATGTTCCAGACTGAAAAGTCTCTGAATTTTTTCCAGTAGCTTCCGGCTGATATCTCATTCTTTCTGGTAGGAAATGGCCGTAAATCATTGGGAAAACTCGGAGACTTTTCAGTTCGAAGTACTTCTTTTATCTTACTTTTGCCTATAATTTGTAACACAGAATACGAAACATGTGTCAGCGAAATAACTTTCCATTTTTTTTGTTTCAATTATTTTAATCAAAACACATTTATTTATTATTATTCAATTTTAATTTGATTTTTGACTAGGCCAATTGCTGAAAAGCAAGGATTGAGAACGGCCATTCCATAGCTCTCATCATTTTTCGCCAATTGATACACAAATTATGCTTCGACAAACTAGCCTATGGGACTTAGCTTGGTTTGCGTAGGAGGCTTTACAGCAATTGGAGAAATGCTATATTTCTCGAAGACAAAAGGGTATTCATTGAATAGCTCTCAAGACTCTACATCAATTGATGTTGGATTCACTCTTCCCGAAATAAATGATTATGTCTGTCTGTGTACGCCCTCTATCAGCTTCGGCAATTGTGTAGTAGGCGTTGTCCAATGAATGTCAACACAACTGTAGTAACAATAACAGATCATATTGTAGTAGCTGTACATCGATAAAATCTGTTCATCGATTTAGATCGTCAAGAGATGACGATGAAGAACAATCAGCTATTCATGTGAATAATGGAAAAATCATTCATGATGATCACCAAAATATAAAAATTGATGTAAATAAATTCCATATATTATGTAATAATATTCAAAATATTTGTTTTCAGAAATATATAATTCAATATTTGAATTCAAAAGATAATTTATTTCTACAATTTTTATTATTAAATGTTTCAATACGAATAATATTTATTATATTATGCTTATTCATTATTTCAACTACCTATTAATGAACTTGTTTAACTATCCGATTAAAACCTCAATACTACTATCATCTTGAACAAGTCACTAACAGCTATTTGCCTCGAATTATCCATCTGATAGCATTCTGAGTACGTTGTAACATATATTTGCTCTTGTGGCTAGCATGTAGCTAGTTAGGGTATATGTGTAGAGAGCTGGAGGACTCTGCGTCAGATAAACATTCTGTTTCTTCTTTTTATTTATACTTATATAAATTTTAGTATTTAGGACTCAAATTTTGGTAATGAAATTGTAATGAAGTTTAAATAAACACATCAATAAACAATATTGACAAAAAAAAATGATATTGATTTATAAGTATGACCCAATGTAAAATGATCAATTGGAGATATTCTATCAACAAAGTAAATAAAACTAGTAATTGAAATAAGTACTTCTAATAATGAATTATTTTCTTAGATCATTTGTTATGCGTAAATGTCAACCTGTCGGTCTTTTGAAAATAAAATTTCCATGTATTACTCCTATTCAAAGAGTAATACAAAAAATAAAAGATGATCATCTACTAATCGAGTAACAATACCTGATGATGTACAGGATGTTTCAAAAGTTCGTTAGGAAAATAAATTCGTATAACTTTCTTTCCAATACGGATAAACATTAAAAGTTAATACTTTTGACTGAAATTTGAAAAATACATTTTTTCGAATTTCAGTTAATGTTACTTGTAAAATTTATCTGTAACTCTGCGGTGATGTCTAACATATGAAAGTTATACGAATTTAATTTCCTAATGAACTTTTGGGACATTCTATATTGATAAACAACAATGTGATGAATTACTTATTTCGATGTCAAGTGTTTTTTAAACGTTGATTGTTATTTGAAATTGAAGCTGACTCTAACGATATACATGTACCTATTGCTAAATTAACTTTAGATATATTTTGATAGGATAAAGTTTAAATAACTCATGTAATAATGCACAAATAAATTAGAATATTTTGTATTAGAATGAAATACATTTTCATAGAGACTATATTTTTTTATTTTTTTTTTATATTTTATCACTAAAACAATTGATAGAATCAAGAAATAATATACTAGCATTTCAACGTATGACAAATAGCCAAACTGTTTCGTCTAACAATTCGATCGTTGTTTTTTTCCATGCCACTATTTTCTTCAAGTGGCCAACAAACTTCTTCCAGATTACTCTATTCTTCATTTCGTCATAGTAAAATATCTACAGTTGCAGAAAATTCATCAACTATTTCTAAATCAGAATCAATAATAAAATCATCATTTTATCCTACAACTAATATTCGACGTAAATGGTGGAAAGAATCTATAGCATATCAAATTTATCCACGATCATTTCAAGATTCTAATGGAGATGGAATAGGTGATATACGAGGTAAAAATTTGTTTTTTTTGTTTTCAACAAAACAAAAATTAAATCTTGAAATTTTTCATAGGTATTATTCAACGGCTTGATCATATAAAAAATCTTGGAGTTGATCTTATTTGGATATGTCCAGTTTTTAAAAGTGCTAATGATGTAAATATTTTTCGTCTATTTTATCTAAAATTACAATTGATTTTTTTACTAGGATAATGGATATGATATATCTGATTATCAAAATATTATGGATGTATTTGGTACAATGGAAGATGTTGATGAACTTATAAAACA